TGGTAATGCATATGACAAATGGGCATCCAATACTAATCCATGGGACAGCCCGTTGTTTGTCTAATGCCGTCAGGCTATTGTCAATCCTAATACCTAGTGTTCTGTGTTTGTTTTCGATTGCTCATTGTAGTTTTGAGGATTTTGATTAAGTGTGAGCTAGATTTGGTTTTGGTTTGCGGTCGACAATACTAATCTCACTCAACGATTGGTGAAAACTGAAAAGTATGTAAAGAAAATATGTCCTACTTTACGTGACCACGTGGGAATTTATAGGGCGGTCAAACACGAACTGCTCGAGCTTGCTCAGCGCGAGTTTCCCATGTTCAACATACATGGACCACTCTTGCAGACAGAGTTAACAGCTTGAACCTACCATAGACAACGTGCTATCAACTGCCCGAAACAGTTTTTTGACCGAATGGTTGTGGTGGCTGGGCAACCGGCAGCCCGACAACGTGTCGATGCCCGCACGGAACAACTCTTTGTGTGATCTTCAAATTTTTGTTTCGGGTCTGGATGTCATGTGTATGTAACTTAGTTGTTAGTCTTTCCGTGGTGCTTGGCGACTGGACTTCACCCAGTTATACAGTCTCTTTTTTGTGCCCTTAGGCTTAATTCATTCTATCTCCTGCAGTAATTCACCGAGGGAAGTGAAAATATAATTTTTTTTCTTCTCCTCTTATAATATCTTCTGAATCACTTCGTTGCGGGAACCAAGACTATTATTCAAGTCCCTGGGACGCGCCGGACTTCAGTGTTCCGATGTTTTCATGGTTGTATCTACTGTAGATCCTGGCTTAGAGGAGTTGCAGTGCTTTTGGAAGGATGTGACGGGCTTGTTCTAAAAAAAAACAAGTGTATATAAACTTGTACGTTTATAAACGCACTCACGACATAGGAGAACATACCAGTGTAATCAAGTTTAAAAAAAAATCAACTGCTTGAGTACTACAACTAAAGCAAAGTTCACTATGTAGTCGCAGCTTGAAGCAGCCAATCCTGCCTGCTTTAAGCAGTCCGTTCATGTCAGGCTTCAATATTTGTTTTAAATACTCAATATAAAATTCAATATCGAACATAAAAATAAAGTCTACCAAACTATGACTGTTAACAAAATTCCAACCAGACTTCAATATCACAAACAAGAAGAAAAACCAGCCACTCAAAGACAAACATATAAAATACAAGTTATAAGCATACTCCATAAAGCCGAAGGCATGATACAGCCAGAAACAATGTAATCCCTCGTCTTACGTTGCATATTGCACTCACCAAGGATTACAACGGCCACCGCAGCGGATTTTGAGACAAATTCGTTGCGTCATAAACGGGATCCTTCGACGAGGTTGGAAATAAAAACGATATGGTAGCGTTGGAGATGGAAAACATTTGGGGTTGTTTAATTTCTGGTGATGGTTGTGTTATTTTAAAGTTTCGTTTTAAAACTTGATTAGGTTTTTGATTTATTTGATTGAGGAACTTAGTTGTTGATATTTTTTTAAATGGACATGTCATCGAATGGCCGAAAAAATTTCTCGCCTGGGTAACTCGGGTGAAGCGGTGAAGAAGATTAATAATTGATAGGATTATACTTTACTGATATTATCAAAGAACACATCGCTTAGTCTTTAACCAATAATCAGTAAAAGGAGTTTTAATAATTATGATTTTAATTATTTAAGTCCTGAAAAATGGGTTTACATTTAATAAATCCCCAAAGCCTCCAATCCTTAAATCCCTTGTACAATCACATTTATAGCTCCTTTGGTGTTGCGAGTGTCCATGGGTGGCGCGGGGCGCCGATTGCTTACCGTACGATGATCCGACACATTTGCTGCTGCATCCCATAAAAAAATAGTTCAAATTCTGTTATTTACAGTTCAGATAATTTTAAAAGTAAGTATTAATTTACAGTTCACTAACAATAGGGTAGATGCCTAATTTTTATTTTAATGTCCTTCTGGTAGATTATTTTATATCATTAGACACGTATTTTTTATTTTCTTTAAGAAACGAATACTTTCGACGATATATTGATTTGAAATGTCGCGTGACATCACTTCTATGTACATTTTATACGTAGAAATAACGTTTTAGCCCCCACTCTTAAACTTTGATTCTTTTTATCTAAGTATTGTTTTATTAGACGACAAAATAAAAATTACGCGTCTAATATTTTTTCATTACCTAACTTACAGACTAATTAGATTTTTAATTTTCGTACCCTGTCATCATTCATCCCAATTGGACTTTTTGACTACTAGAGGTACATAACTAAGTGAAGTCTGAAAACGCAATTGTTTACAAAACCATGATTGAACCTGTTTTTCTTTTCTAAATCGACCAACTACTTATACCATGCAACAGACAACAAGGTTATATTTGGTTATTTACACGTATATGTCAACCTAACAAAACCTCTTTCTCATGATATCGTTTTAAATGACACATCCATACATTTACCGGTCAGTTCATACTGGTTATGCATAGCTTAATGTGAAGCTACATAATAAAATATTTCTTTGGCACATCCCCCTATCTTCTATGATGTGTGTGATCTCCTTTAATCTCTCTCTGTCTAGACGTTATATCAAATTGTTACGAATATTGTTTTTTTTTCAGATTCATGTTATTGCCTCCGTTGTGCAAACATACTGAGTTATTAGAATCCTTGCTATTTTGTGTTACAGTGGTTGAGAGTGTTTGTTTTGTTTCGATTGTTTTATTAGCGTAGAGGTCGCTGTTGTCGAAAAAGATGATTGGAGTCTGAATTGCTGAATCAGAAAATTTTGGAATTAGTATTTGGTCATAATATCAGTATAAGGTGTTCGTTGTTTAGTATTGCGCATGCATAATGATAATAATTGTTTAAAGTGAACAGGCGTTTTAGTTTTCTGTATAAGAAGATTATGGTATACATGGGTATGGTATTCTGTCCGCCTTATGTATTTTGTGGGTAGTAAAGAGTAATAAATAAATGAGTTTTTTTTAAGCATCTATTAACCCAGTGTGTGTCTAAACGTGGATCCACACGAGACGTCATTTCTATAATATGCACAAAAACTAATAAAAATAGATATAGCTACTTTAGTACCTACCTATTACACATTTATTAACGACCTACATACATATTATGAACTTACATAATTCTACCCCAACACCACAGAAGGAAGAAGATGCACTAATTGCCAAAAAAGTTTTGATTCCACCCCTCCCTTTTAAATCATTAGCTAATAAATAGAGCATTATTGTTTCTACTACAAACAAAACTAACATAACCGCTTACGTCGCGCAAAAGGACACATAAATTTTGCGTACACGTAAAGCTATGCAAAACCAGTTATCATGATCTAACTTTGTATGATCCTTCCACACATTCAAAGATCAGTTTATACTGGTATTGTATCGCTTGATGTCTAGTCGTGTGTACCAGTCGAAGAAATATCTTTGCGCCGTATTCTGAAAAATGTTCGGAAACTTTTAAGTACTCGTTGCATTTATTTGGTGAATTATATAGAGTGGGTGCTAATCATAGAAATGAAATTTTAAACATTTCTACTCGCAGTAATAACGTCCGTTTATATTCACAGACTCATATTATAAGTTGTGTATGCACTTTAAGATAATTAGGTGAGAAGATAAAATAAAGTAACAAAAAAGGGTACGCATTTAGATATTAAATTGTAATTAATATAAAATTGAGAACTGCAACATCACTTTGACCACCTCGAGGACAGAACGTAGAATCATCATCAACATTTTCTTAATAACTTTTCTATGAATCACTACACAGCACTGGCCATTATACCAAGAACACATAACTCCAATCAACAGTGCGGTATTAACCCCTCTATATTACATTTCAATATCCACCCACACAGACACACGTGTGGCATAGATCACTCTTGTAATAATGTTAGAACACTGTATGCATTATATTTCGGTACAAGTTGCATATAGATGTTTCGTGTCTAGTTGGTGTAGTTGGTTTCTCAAGATAAGTTGTGTTGGTGAGGGGTTCGAAACCTACCAACGGCAAGTACCAATATGACTTTTTCCGAGTTATATGTACTTTCTAAGATCATCTAGACAAGACGAGAGACGAGAAAAGTTTGTGAGGAAACTTGAGCTTATAATTTCTAATTATAAGTTTGAAATTGCCAAACCGCATTGAGCAAACGTAGTGATTTATGGTCATACCTTCTCCGTGTGAGAAGAGGCTTTGTTCAGCAATGGGTATTTAATGGCTGTTGATGATGATGATAATGATGATGATAATGATGATATAAGTACTAAAAAGTCATTACATTAGGTAAACGAAATATATGTACAAAGTACGTTGCCCTGCCCACTTTTAAGTCCTCCGTTGTTGCGAGTATCCATGGGTGGCTCTGATCGCTTACTACCAGGTGATCTATTCTACGATTTACGTCTATTTGCCCCCTGTACCATATAAAAACTAACCCAGAAACAGAATTCTAGACTCTATAATACTACACACCCTACGCGCCTACACTCACTGAATAAGACATTGTAATTAGACAATTACGTAAAACACAGTAATAAGCAAGCCACACCACCGGCAAAGCGCTAGTCCTTCATAAAAACATAGAAAGATTATAGCTAATAAATAAACATAAGTCAATCAGGATTTACAAGATGGGAGGCAATATTTACGACTTCGTTCCATTAACAGAAATGGCCCCATCAACTAAGAAAATAATCCAGACGAAGCTAAAGATGGATTCTTATATTAGTCGTTCTTACAGGGAAAATGCCCATTGTGTTAGTACGCATATTTTAGTGAGAGGAATATTGTGCCTGATTCATTGATTGAGGAGATGTGGATTCGATTATTCACATGTCGGAAATATTGCATACTTGTTTCGACCAGCGGTTTCACATGCGTCTTTGGAATAAAAAGTGGCCAATATGTTATCTAGACCTGGAACAAGGGTAGATACCTGTTGGGAATGGGTCTCTTCAATAATAGTGGACTGTATTTTAAACTGGTATATTAGAATTAACAACGGTAAGAAAGATTGTGTTGCGTCGTCCGCGAACGATCCCAAAAGAAAAAAGATGGTGGCCGTGCGCCGCTTCCGCTCGCGTCGCCCTCCCCCGCGCGCCCCGCCTCTCTTCCGGGAGCGTCCGGCTGCGTTCACGCGCAGACATGCTCCCCGGGTTGAAGCGCTGGCTTCAATGAAGTGGAAGCGGGCAGATGACATTGAAGGCCCGCCGAATTGTCCCTCCTTTGATCTTCAATTCAGCGACCCTAGCGACGCCGTCGGAGCCCGGGTACGTCCGCACGACGCGACCCAGCATCCAGCAGAGAGGAGGCAACGTCTTGTCCTTTACTAGGACGAGGCTGCCCACCTTGATGTCTCCAGAAGACGTAGACCATTTAGACTTCTGCTGTAGCAGAGAGACATATTCACAGTTAAACCTTTGCCAAAAATGTTGCTTAATAAATTCCACTCTTTGAAGTCGCTCGAGACGGCTGATGTTTGCGCTGTCAGTTCCTATTTGTGGATGAGGAACGAGCGTGAGTGGTCTTCCAATTAAAAAGTGGGAAGGTGTCAGGGCACAAAGGTCATGTGGATCGGGAGAGCAAGGAGTAAGAGGACGGGAATTGAGAATTGCCTCTATTTGAGTTAGGCATGTAGCCATCTCCTCATACGTAAAATGCGTTAACTTGAGCAGTCTTTTTAGATGATGTTTAGTGGAGCGCACAGCGGCTTCAGCAACGCCGTTGAAATGGGGAGTATAGGCCGGCACGAAGTGGAATTCGATACCTTCTTGGGCCAAATTCCCTGCTACATTAGAATTCTGTAAAAAAAGGCGTAACTGATTATTCGCCCCGACGAAGGTAGTCCCATTATCGGACAATATGCTTCGCGGTTTGCCACGGCGCGCAATGAACCGCTTCAAAGCAGCCATATAAGCCTCTTTTGTGAGGTCCGTAACAAGCTCCAGGTGAACAGCCTTAACAGCCAGGCAGACAAAAATACATATGTAAGACTTGACAAGCTTACAGCCTCTTCCCTTTCGGTCAGCGATCAATATTGGGCCAGCATAGTCGACACTTGAATTTAGGAATGGAAATTCTAGATTACTCCGTGAATTTGGAAGTTGCCCCATTATTGGTTGAACATTTTGAGCCTTATGTCTAAAACATACTACACATCTTTGCACAGTTATTCTAGATAAGTTTCTACCTCCTAAAGGCCAATAATTTTGACGAATTGTTGCCAAGAGCAACTGAGGCCCAGCATGTAATAATTTTCTATGAGCGTTTTGGAATAATATCTTGGTTAGATGATGTTTACTGCACAGAAGTATAGGATGCTTCACGTCATATTCATAAGGAGAATTGTCCAACCTACCCCCAACACGAATAATGTCGTCAGAGTCTATGAAAGGTGACAAGGATAAAAGACGATTTTTGTGAGGCAATGATTTGCCTGCTTTTAAAATAATATATTCATCTGAGAATATTTCAGATTGTGCATTACGTAAGATGCATTTTAGTGAGGACTGAATTTCTTTATTATGCAGAAACCCTACTAATTTATTATCTTTATTTTTTAAATTGTGAATGTACCTTTTAATGTAAGCCACATTTCTGAGCAAATGGTTAAAATCAGAATATTTATGAATCAATTGTTGTATTATTGTTTGATTCTGCAAATTTATGTGATTGGCCTGAATAACATTCCAAAATAGTTCAGCTCCCAACAGAATATCAACATCTGAAGGAATATTATAAGATGGGTCCGCTAAAACTAACCCTGAAGGAATTGGTATATTTTCAGTATTTATGTAGGATGCCGGTAATCTACTAGTAATCTCAGATAGAATGAGGCAGTTTATATTGAAAGAATAATGTTCGTATGTTGATTCAATAGTAAGATTGCAAGATTGTGTACTGTTACTAGTCAAACCATTAATACCTGTTACCGTTGAAGTAGCATCAACTCTAGACAATCCCAGGACATTGCACAGCTGGTCTGTGATGAAGTTGGCTGTACTGCCACTGTCAAGTAAAACTCTGGCGTTGTACCTTTTGCCATTATGACTCACCACCTTCACCATCGCTGTGGATAGCAAAACATATTTCTGAGAAGCAGGTTGTATATCAGCTGAAAGCGAAACACTATTAGAGGATACAACAGGCATAGGGTTATATACTTGAAGCGCAGGCTGATCTAAATGTAGCAAGGTGTTATGCCGTTCTTTACAGTATTTGCAACGTGAGAATCTACAACGTTTCTCAGTATGTCCAACCCGTAAGCAGTTCATGCACACTTTGAATTCTTTCACTTTCTGTACCCTTTCTTCTATTGTTAATTTTTTAAAAGCTACACATGAATAAAGATAATGATTTTGAGAACACAAAGGACAAGTAATTTGACTTTTATCTTTCTCAGTATTATTTGTTTGCTGTTTCAGCGAGGTAACTATAAAACTTTTAGATTTAATGCTGTTAGTATGTTGCACTTTATCTAATTTCTTGTTTTCCTCTAATGTTTCTAATAGATCTGCCTTATTATTCATAAATTTACAAAATTCAAGCAATGTTGGTGAGTTGCCTAAAGTGGTACGGTGCTCTTCCCAGTCCCTACTGGTAGTACTGTCCAACTTTAATGTCATTAGATAAATAATCAAAGTATCTCTTGTCGGCTCATTCAATAATGTTAATGCTCTAATATTTTTATTTGTGACATCAACCAGGCTGCGTAAGGCAGCACTGGATTCATTTATAATAGGCTCGGCATTAAATAGTGCCTTGACATGATTGTTTATTAACAGGCGACTATTATCATACCTCTCACATAATAAATTCCAAGCTAATACATAATTGTCACTTCTGAAATCTATGTTTTTAATGACTTCAGCAGCTTGACCTTTTAGTGATGCGCGTAGATAATGAAATTTATTTATGTTATCAATACTGGTATTGTTGTGTATCAATGAAAGAAAGGTGTCCCTATATTCTAGCCAACACTGATAGCTGCCATCATAGCGGGGTAAATCAATTTTAGGCAAACGTATAAAATTTTTTGTCCCACCTGTCACCTCGGAGCCTGATACAGAACCTGAAGTCTTGGCCTGCTGTCGCGCCTGCTCATCAGCGATGACTTTGCGCGCCTCGGCAACCACGTTGTGGTACTTTTCTTCAAACTTGAAGCGATCCACGTAGGCATCGTCAGGATGGTCCGACAGCAGCTCAATTTCTGTCTGGATTAGATTAAATTCGTCATATAGTTGCTCGAATTTCCTAAATCGACTTTCGAGGTCGAGTACTTGCACGTCAGACAATTGATCAGTGTTTTCCAAGACTGTGAGATATGTAGTGAAATTAGTAAGCTTAGCCTTTATCGAACTCCGTTGTCGAATGAGTTTGTCAGCCATCGTGCAATATAGGGGGTCGAAGCCCTTAGCTAGTGCCAATGCAAATCAGAGGAGACTAGAGGAGGTAATAAGGATAATTATAGAATAAAATTGGAACGACTCACTTCACGCCACGTGTCCTTGACCATCAATCAATGTGAAATCTGAACAGCGATGCCACGCGGCACTATGGTTGCGGACACGTGTTGGCCACTGGTGACTGCTTGTGCTCTGGTCTTCACTTTTCAGTGATGGTGGACTGCGAAGAGCGGTGACGCCACGGGACACGGCGCAATAGAACGGCGCACGTGTTTTCCTTGACGATGAGTTTTCTCCGGGATGACGCCACAGGATGCGGCGCAATAGATCGGCGCACATGTATTCCTTGACGATTAGTTTTCTCGGGGATGACGCCACAGGACACGGCGCAATAGATCGGCGCACGTGTATTCCTTGACGATTGGTTTTCTCGGGGATGACGCCACAGGACACGGCGCAATAGATCGGCGCACGTGTATAACTATGCCGTTTAATTCTTCTCTCGTAGATCGGCGCACGTGTATAACTATGCCGTTTAATTCTTCTCTCGGTGGAAGGACCAATGTTGGGAATGGGTCTCTTCAATAATAGTGGACTGTATTTTAAACTGGTATATTAGAATTAACAACGGTAAGAAAGATTGTGTTGCGTCGTCCGCGAACGATCCCAAAAGAAAAAAGATGGTGGCCGTGCGCCGCTTCCGCTCGCGTCGCCCTCCCCCGCGCGCCCCGCCTCTCTTCCGGGAGCGTCCGGCTGCGTTCACGCGCAGACAATACCCTTGTTCCAAATTTAATCTCTATCCTTTCAACCGTTTTGACATTAAGGCGTAACAAATAAACAAACTGGTTCACAGGAAGAAATCCCAATAAGAATAGATGGTACCTTCGTACTTTAATTTTATATATATGTTGTCATTAATGTTGTATCTTCTCTGTCGTTTCGCTATTGGCAGAGCGGTCGTGGTCACGTTGACGCAGTCGTGTTTGTGTTGGAGACTGGCACAGCTTTCCTCACGATCTCCCGCCACCTCTCCCCGTTTGTAGATTGTCGCAGTCTACACTGGGTATCCCGTTGCCGATTTGACTTGATTGATCCAGCGCATAGGTGATCTGCCTCGTGATCTGGTTCCCTCTACTTTCCCCTGAATGTTGTATGTGTGTACATAAATATGAAATAAATAAACATAGAAACTTTTGCAATTACAGTATTAATATGTAGTATATAACTGATAACTACTTTTTATATTTAGTGTTAGTGTTTGTTCCTTGCAATTTACTTATAATTATTAACCTTTAATTAAATACTAGGCCCAGCTAAGCAGTCTCCTTTATATCTTATCAATAAAAAAATAAGCATCTAATCAAGCTTATGTTAACGATACATAATTAACTGTATTCACTTCAACTAAAAATCTCGTTACTCATGTAAATATACTGAGAAAATGTCTACTAGTTTCGAGCCACAGAGAGGCACTTCCTCATGAGCAGCGTGCGCACTCGCAGCTAGCGACGCAGCCTACTGTCAACTTCAGTATATTCACGAGAGTAACCCGCGATTTTTAGTTAATTTAGTATGTCTCACGAAAATTATTATAAAAGCATTTAATTGCTTTCTTCTTAATAATCGTACGATCTACAAGGTTTAGTTGTAGATCGTACTACAATACAAATAACGTTTTTTTATATTTAATAACAAATAACAATTTCATCCTTATTTCCTCAAGTAATCTGTGAGAGTCGTTATCCAATGCATTGGAGCTTGAAACAAAATTGCCTCAACTTGTACTACTTCGGAACATTCTAACAATACTTGTACCGTACTTAGATATCTAGTTTCTACTGTTTTCTACTAAAATCAGACTATTTTATTAATAAAACATTATTTTTAAGAAAGAATGTATGATCCTTTGTCATAACATCTGTACTTTCATTGCTTAAGTAGAAAGGAGTATACAGAACGGATATGAATAGGACTGTCGCCCGCCCTAGTCCGACATATATCAAGCAAAGAAGGACCAAATTAAAAGTAACCTATTAACCGATAAGCCTGCATGAAGAGACCGCTGATTGATGAGGAAGCAAAAGAAGCAATAAGAAGAATCGTAGCAATAGCAATATATAATAGTAGATGTACATTAAATATACCAAAACATTTCATTTTACTATATACACGATCTCCAATGCGATTAATTATTCTCCCGCCAATCATGGAAAATTAAAAACCCTCTTTTCTGTAGAGCCTAAAGTCCAGCTGTGGACGTTCACAAGCTGTTCATCATTGTATACAATTGCAAAATTCAAACTTATACCCATATACATAATTTCTATAATGACAAAAACCAATCCTGTCCATAAGTTTCCAGCCGGTCAAAACCAATTTACTCGAATCTACGTGTACCTCCAAATTACTCTGAATACCATTCATAGGTAAATGTACCTACAGTATGTTGCCCTTACACTGTGTATCATCGAACCAGTTTGTAATCGTCTGTAGCTGTTCTATTTATATAGTGTATAATATACTCCACTGAATGTGCATAGAGTCTGTTTTAGAACTGAATAAAATGATTTATGCACATTACAATGATATGTTTGGAATTATTGATTTTTCTTATGGAATAGAAGGCAAATGAGCAGACGGTTCACTTAATTAGTGTCGCCCATGATGGTGTTCATGGACCACAATGGCAATCCCAGGTGCATTGCGTTGGTTAAAAGTGGTTCTTACTTCCATGCTGAAATCCCTAAAAGGCCGATAACGAACTATTAATTCCTTTGGTATTGCCGCTGTCGGATGTCCATGAGCGTCGCCAGTCTATGATTGCTTACCATAAGGAGATCTGACTCTCGTTTGCCGCCATCTCATTAAAAAAATTATATGTGAACCTACTCTGTCTACCTAATCAACAATTTAAAGGCGTATCATAAGTTTTGTTATTAGCATCAATAGACAGACCCTGAATACATAACACCTAATACTTTTTTGAGTTGCACTATTACTACATACTGTATCTATCTGTAAAGTGACGTCACAGGCCAGTTGCATCTAATACGTCTCAGGGGATCAGTATTTACATTACCTACGATAGTACGGTAGCCTAGTCTACCTCAATATGCAGTACCTACTAAAGCCGTGAATGTACTATTGGTTAGGAGTTGCTCTGTATTGGAACTTAGGACCTTATTCCCTGGAGAAGTTGGTATAGGCGTGTACAGCAGGTGTGTTTTGTTACTTTAATATTCTAATTGTGAAAGATTTTTTTTTTTTGTACAAGTTCGCCACATACTCCTAAAACCGCTGCAACTATTGTAATCCAGGATCTACAGTAGATACAAACATGAAAACGCCGGAACACTGGAGTCCCAGGGACATGAATCTTGGTTCCAGCAACAAGGTGAATCAGTAGATATTATAAGAGAAGAAAAGAAAATGATAGTTTCCACTTCCCTTAGTGAATTACTGCAGGAGACAATGAATTAAGCCTAAAGGTATAAAAAAGAGACTGTACAACTGGGTGGAGCCCAGTCGCACAGCACCACGAAAATTTATCTAAAAACTATGTGGGGTCCTATGTGTGAGCTATATTTGCTTCCAATACTATTATTGGAATATATCATACCTATGTATGGCAAAAGCGCCGAAGAGCGAAGTGCGAAAGAAAATGACTGTTAATACTAGTTAAATATCTCAATATTAATACTTAGAAAGATCTGGATTTCGTAACTAAAATTTTGTGTTTGACAGTCAAAGGTCGCGACCATTGGGCTACTATTAGCCCACCTATGTAACAAATACAAGTTTCGACTTATTGCTAAGCGTTTTGAAATCAGAAGACTATCCCAATAGTTTGTCTAACTAAATTGAAAATCCAGTAGGTATTTCCTAAATCTTCACCACACTCAAACCCAAAACCATATTGTAATCATTTCAATTTCCCTCTTTAACAACATCAAACGATAATCAAAATGATACAGTTCAAAATTAACTTGAACATTGAAAAAGTGGAAGATAACAACGTTGTTCACAAGTACGTACGTAATAGTTGAAAATACTTGGAATTTCACTCGACGAAGTCTTAGGAAAGATGCTGCTATTAATAAACCTCTTAGGGGAAGGACTTCGCATAAAAACGAAATAACTGATTTCTCAAATTATCGGTAACCGTTTGAACTTGAGTAGGTTGAGGTACTTCCACGATACAATATTCGTTTGATTCCTAGAAATTGTCGACTTACGTACTGCCACGTGTGTGAGTTGTGTGGTACAAGGAAATATATATGTAACCAACTTCAAAAATGGAAGAAGGTTCTCAGATTAATCTGTATGTATATATGAATATTTGTGCGCGATTATGTCGTAATTGGCTAAACCGATTTTGATGAAGTTTTCAGAAAAGTGTTTTTTACATTTAGGATAAGGTTTTATTGTATTTATTAACGACTTAATAATAAGCGCTCCCTCTTCCCTCTTGATAACGGTTTCTTTACACGTAGTTTATAAAAAAAAATGTTATGGGCACATCAAATCGTCACAAAATTATATATGTATATACCTGCGAGTCGCTATTTCAGAGATGAATAATATTAGACAGTTGAGTCCAGATTGGTTGATGACTAAACGGAAGACGAAGCATGGGCTTCTACCTGCAAGGTGGACTGTTGTCGTTCGACATGGATGACTAAGGGGACTTTGTCCAGCAGTGAATGATGATGATTATTCTAGATTAGAATGCATTATGCTAAAATATCTATCGAACCTACATTTAAACTTACTTGAAGAACAAATTTATAATTTTAAAGACCCTTGTACCTCAAAAACTATTTTTTAGACAAACGGCACGCTGCAATTCGTAAAAGTTTGCCAATGCTGCCCTATATAAATACTAGTGATGGTTTCAAGTCACCGAATTCGTCCTATACAGTTATTATTTTGCAAATAGTTTGCAATATCGTACATTTAGAGGTAATTTAAAAGTAGATCGGTTACATATCTAATTTATTGTTGTTTTTTGTTAGTCAGTCTGTCAAAAATTGGGTAAGCTATGAAACTATCTTTAGTTATCTTTCTTAGGGTCAACAGTCGTGATATTATTTGATATTAGCTGTTGCCCGCGACTTCGTTTGCCTAGAATTTTGATTACAACTGTTTGATGACAGCTCCTCCCTCGTAGATGATAGCGTGATAATATGTAGCCTATATGTTAACCCGACCTGTTAGTAATATCCACGCAAAATTTGAAGTAAATCCATGCAGTACTTTTGGAGATCATCCCGGACATACATACAGACAAATAGACAAAAATTCTGTAAAACATATTTTTGGCTTCGGTATCGATTGCAGAATACGCCCCAAATATTTTTTAAAAAAAAATATTTAGTGTACAATTTACATTTCTACGATTTTATTATATGTATTACTAGAAGAAGACCTAGCAAATTTCGTACCGCCTAAAAATTGTTCTCACCTTTTAAACCTTCCCTGGGCCTCCACGAACACTTT